TTGACCAGCAGCAGTCACTGAGGGGAAGGTAGGCTTCCCAGCTCTGAGTAGGGAAATACCTGGAGATTTGGGGGGTGGATCCTGTGGAGGGCAGCATTTGGTGGGGGCAGAAGGACTCAGCAGGACTTTCCAAACCTGGAGCTGGCAACCATAGGACTGGGCCCAATGAGTTCCTCACAGAGGCATAGAAAGGTTTATACAAACAGTTCCAGTCTAATACAATGGGCAGTTCTGAAATTATACAGCACATATTGTGTTAGGTGAGTATGGGATGAAAGGAGACCAAAGGTGACTGTATATTATGGCAGGTTATCAGCTTCATGTTTGCCTGGGCCTTTTGCTGGTTCAAATAGGACTGTCCAGGGAGAAGAGGGCTATGTGTTGGCACACTTTCTGTTAACTAGACCCTGCACCCTCTCTGTATATCTGCTCTACAACAAGCAAAGCAGAAGGACGAGCTCTTCATGCAAGAGTTATAGGCAAGGCAACAGTGATCGGCTGGCCCAAGAACAACTACATGCAATGATTAATCCCCCTAAAACACCCAATGAAAAGAGACAGACAGAAGAACAGATGGGGCACTTGGCCCTTACTGAAGCGAGGCTGTAGAGTAAAAGAGCTTCTAGTCAATGAGGGAATGAGGAGTATAGATTCCCATCTTCTTTAAATGTCAGCTGTGGGGAAAAGAAAGCCAACATGGGGCCTGTAAAGGCAAGGCCTGAAACATCTTCTGCCAATTCAGATCTACTTAGACTTCCTGAGGCAAAATAACCACCCACTTACTGATGTTAAAAGGGCATGTGGCAAGTCCACATCCCCACTTACCTCCATACAAAGTTCAATTCTGGAACCTACTGACAACAGTTGTGTCTGCCTGCTTTGTTTCATAAACAATAAAAAATACTTTGGTCCAGTTTGTGAGGGTAGGCCATAGCTTGAGGCTCACAGCAAAAAACAGAGGGAAGTTTGAAGGGTTGCCTGCCGTCACCTACCTTGTAGCCTTGATTGATGCCATTCACAAACTGGGGGCTGGGTGGGTTCCATGAGAAGCGTATTGTGGTGGAGTTGGTGGCCTCAGCCTGCACGTTACCTGGAGACACTGTGGGAACTGTGGGACAAGAAATCAAAAGGCAGCAACTCACTTGGAATGGATGGAGGGCTGGACATAACGGCATAAGAAGGCACTGCAGTTCACACCACCTGTCTGGCTTGGCAGCTCCTCTTTGTGCTCACTAGCTCTACATTCAGAATTAAGGATTTACATTGTGGATGTGGACTGTGATCCAGACATTGTATTTGTCCTCCTGCCATCAGTAGCCCGTGTGCAGATATGAATGCACACACACACGGAGATCCTACAAATGCCACTCCCAAACCGGCAGCGTTCCACATAAGCAGCAAAACCAAGCTGACAAGCTTTGCTTGGCAGGGCACATGTTTAGTGTTGTTGCATTTTTTTCTAATCACTTGGGCCTGCCTCTGTGACCAATCAATTCTCTCAAGGAAAGATATCCACCACCACCCTTTCCCTCCTCCAGAAAACTTACCACCTTGGAGAGTCCATTCAGTGACTTTGGAACTGTAGACACCAAGTCCAGCACTATTGTATGCTGCCACCTCAATCTCATAGTTGGTCCAAATGATCAGATCCTCCAATAGCAGGTTGTTGACATCAGCATTGGTGATGTTCCTGAACTGGTAGCCAACAGGAAGGCCAGCCAGGCAAAATCTAGACAAGGGGACAACACACAAGATATTGGGCCAACCCATGATTAAAGCAGTCGGGATGTTCTTGCCTTGTGGGACGCCCTCTGGTTTTCCCATTTCTGACCAGACTATGGGAGATTCCAAGAGGAAGCAGAACTGGAAACTTGGCACGGTGCTTGTGCTTGCTCACCTGATGATGTAACCCTTGAGGATACCGTTTTGGTGGTTCTCTGGCGGCGGCTGCCACTGGATCATGATGGACTGATTGGTGCGGCCACTGGCAATGACATTCTGTGGAGGTGCTGTGGGGGGTTCCTCAGGAAGGGAAACCCTGATGAGAGGAAGATCATACAAAAGGCAAGTTCCAAGGCTGGCCCTGAACTGGGTTAAACGCTCAAGCAGTTGTAACTAGGCAACCGCCAAACTCAGCCACACCAGAGTAAGTGCCCAGTCTGCGCACATACACAGCCAGCTTCTCATTGTGTGTGCACATCTTTTTACTTTTACACAGCACCTTGATAGAATAAAGAGGGCAGATGGCTAGAGTCTTTATATGGTTATGCTGTATTTTTTTATTTATTTATTTATTCTTTGCATTTATATCCCGCCCATCCCGCGAGCAGGCTCATGGCGGGTAACATCATTATAATAAATACAATTTCAACTTGAAACATGATAAAACATTATAACAATTCAAACAATGGGTACAGCTTGAAACAGCGTCAGTTGGCTATAAAGTTCTGGCCCGATGGTGCGGTGATTTAAAGACCAGTTGTCGGTGGTCAATAAGTGGATGGGTGACAGCAACCGCAGGGATCCCGTTGACTCAACCAAAGGCCTGGCGGAACAACTCCATCTTGCAGGCCCTGCGGAATTGAAGAGGATCCCACAGGGTCTCAATAGGGAGCATGTTCCACCAAGCTGGGGCATACTTATGACAACCCAGCCCATAACTCCAGACTAAGTCGGCGAGGGGGCACATGTAGATGTTAAACAACATTGGCGAGAGGATCGCCCCCTGCGGCACTCCACATTCTGGTGGTTATTGCAGGGAGACCCTCTTGCCCAGTGCCACCCTCTGTCCCCAACCATGGAGAAAGGAGGAAAACCATTTCAAGGCAGTCCCCTGAACTCCTATGTCGCCGAGGTAGTGGGTCAAGATATCATAATCAACTGTGTCAAATGCTGTCCCCTTAAGTCTAACAACAACAGCAGCGCTGACCCACCTCAGTCCAGTTGTCTATGTCATCTGTAAGGGCGACCAGAGCTGTCTCCGTCCCATGGCCAGGGTGGAAGCCAGACTAGAAGGAGTCCTCAATTGCAAAATTCACCTTGAACTGATTTATAATAGCAGACTTTCATGGACTCTAGCCCAATTCATCAGATGAAATTAAACCTATTATGCACAATATGTTTGTGAGGGTTCTGCTAGTATAACAGAGTGGTAGAAGCAATTTTGTTTGATTCCTCCTCTTTACTGTAGCTGCACATCGTTGACAGTGGGAGGAACTAGCCCATTTAAAGTAGTAGCACTCCTATGACGTTTTATCTTTATTTATTTAATACATTTATACCCCACCTTTCTCTCCAACGGGGACCTAAAGTGGCTTACATCCTCCTCCTCTCCTCCATTTTATCCTCACAACAACCCTGTGAGGCAGGTTAGGCTGAGAGAATAGGACTGGCCCAAGGTCACCTAGTGAGTTTCCATGGCATGAATGGGGATTCAAACCTGGGTCTTTCAGATACTAATCCAACACTTTTGACTACAATGGAGGCCGTGTAGAAATCCTTCTTCGTGGCCTTCACAGCCATCTCATAGGTTTTCATAAGAGTCCTATAAGATGTTTGTGGCACTTCGACACGAGCATGCCGCCACCTTCGCTCCTGCTTCATCCTCCACAGCTCTGATATATACTAAGGTGATGCTTTGGTGCAAGGGCATAGAGGGTGCCAGGGAGCAATCTCGTTGATGGCTTCAGAGAGCCAGTGTTCCCAGTCCTCCACCAGCTCACCCAACAAGCCACCAGGGGGCATTGGATCCCACAGAGCTTCCTGAAGCCAAATGGGGTCCATTTGACTCCGTGGGTGAGCATAAATGCACTCGCCACCTAAACAGGGAAGTCAGTCCAATGATGGTTTTTTCAAGAGCAGATTAACTACTGCTTCCTTTAAAGCCTCTGGGAAAGTCCCAGTATAAAGGGACAAGATAATCTAGAGGGACCCGAATGCTCTCCCCGCAGGTTTTCACCAACCAGGAAGGGCATGGGTCGAGGAGGCAAGTAGTTGGCCTTACTGCTGCCAGAATCCTGTTGACTTCCTCCTGGGAGAGTCGATTGAAGTGGTCCAATATCGGATCAGAAGATGGACAAGGGGCTTCCAGTTCTCTTACTGTCTCAATTGTGGTAGGGAGGTCCTGGCAGAGTATCACAAAAATACCTGTGAAATAGCTCACAAATGCTTTGTAGCCAATGGCCAATTCCCTACTATTTGGTTAAACTCTCCTCGACATCACACGCCAAGCCTACACATTCAATGCTGGAGATTGCTGAGGCGGGAAGCAACCTGAAAGAACAATGGGCTGTCTACGCTGGACACATCACTGTAGGTAATAGTAAGCTAAGCAGCCTGAAGGAACATTGTGCTGTCTACGTTGGACACATCACTGTAGGTAATAGTAAGCTGGGTGGTGGCCCCTTCATGCTAATAATAAAAGCAGAAAAAACAGACCTCAGACAAAGCAGGGGTCTCTGCATTGTCGAGGGATGATGAAAGATATGACCTTGTAAGTTAACCACAAATTTAAAAAAATCAAAAGCACTTCATATTTTTACCATGTGGCTGATTGATAGTGTCACATTATACTTTGTATACAACCCATCATAGCATGAGGTTACCCAGTACTTAAATGGTCTTTGCTTTGGTCACATTCATCCTTACCATATAAATTCAAGCCAGAATAATTGTCCACCTACTCACATCACGTTTGTCTTCCTTCTCTCCAAAAACAGTACTGCCCCCGACTACCTGAATTCAGTTCATTCTTATACTCAACTCTTATGAGCTCCGCCCCAGCTACCCCCCTAATTACATCAGACCTTCAGCCCCCGGTCCATGATATGCCCACCTCACCTCTCTGTGTCCTTGCTGAACTGGCCTTTGCCCACATCGTTGAGAGCACATAGCCGGAACTGGTAAGAGCGGGCAGGAACCAGGCCTCTCACTAGCACTGAGACGACTTCAGGGTCCACGCTAGCCATCAGCACTGTCCAGGGAGCATCTGCCAGGCACAGAAGAAAGGGGCAATAAGGAGCCAGTGAGCAAAGAGGAAGAAAAATGATGGGCAAGCTCCATTCCTCCCACACACTTCTTTTAAGGGGCCCTGTGCAGGTTCCTCTATACAGGAGTTTTCATGAACTGGGTTTTGTTCAGGAGCCACCTCTATTCCAAATGGTATTTAAAGGATTATCAGAGAATGGATGAAGCTATGCAGCTTTCATGAAAGAAGCAAATGACACAGTCAAAGCTTGGCTGATGGATGGGGGAGACGGAGGAATGAGGCCTTTTTTGTGCCTTGGATCACTATCTACATCAGGGCAAAAAAAAGGTTCTCTTACGATTCAGCCGCACCCAATATAGACAACAGAATAAAAGGCTTGTTTAAAGCCTGAACAGAAAACAAAACACCACAAACTGCTAAGGTGCACTAGATTGCAACAAGCTCTCGGGATCAGCCTCGGCGAGAGTCCACAGGGAAATGTCAGAATCCCAAAGGTCTATCATCTCCCACTCCCACAAAGTCTCCCATCAGCTCTGTGATGAGACTCCAGCCCAGCTCTGCCTATTACCGACTTCTGAGTGCACCTTGACACCTTTGTATGGCAGGAAGATGCCTTACTGTTCTCGGAGACCTCAAGGATGTAGCGCAGCAGTGGGCTGTTTCCATCAAAGGGCTTGGTCCATGTCAAGTTGATGGCACGTTTCTCTACAGTGCTCAGCACAGCAATGGGGTTTTCTGGTGCATGGGGGAGCTGCCTGATGAGGATGATGGTAGAAGAAACCAATCTTAGAAGCTATCAGACAACAGAACCCCAAAGACAAGAGTGCTACCCATTGGGAAAGTGGAGTGATTTGGGCATAGCCAAAGGCGCTAATCCACACTATGTGCTGTCATGGCTGGACTGGTTACCAGTCTCTGGGTAGCAGGCACCTTGTTTAATTACATGGTGTGGATGGATGGAAAACATGGTAAGAGCCCAGAGGTACTATGGGAAATAGCAGGGGTATATTATGTGTGTGCTGAGATAATTGGAGGCTGCCTATTCTGCCCAGCTAACAATGCTGTTTGTTTTCCTTGGTTATCTGCTACAAGGAGAGAAAGTCCAACATTGCAATGTGTTGTCAGGTTAGAATGGCCTGTGCCCCCCCCCCAGCTACTCATCCCCCCCCGACACACGGTCACCCAGGGGTGTGAAAGCTGCTTTATGTTTTGTAACCCCATGCTCCAGAGAAATAATAGGACCATGAGGGAAGGGCTGACTGCATGGGTCTGTTCTGTGGGAAAGACCCATGCAGTTGGTTCAGACATGACCTCTGCAGTGTGTGGCTGAACCATGCTTAAGGAGCTGCCATGGTGCTTGGTATGCCTGTGAAAGCCACACGAGTGCACAGGGACTTGGTATTGCATAGGGTATTGGTGCAGGGGATTGGTATTGCATAGGTATTTGAAGCTAGTTAGGGGGTTGTACAATAGATCCCAAAACGGGGCAAGTTAATGGGGATCCATGTCTATGCTCAGTTTGTAGCAAGGTCGTTTCTGCAACATTTATATCAAAACAAGTATGTTACTCAGGAGAGCACGTGGGAAGCTGCTCCGCACCAGAATACGCTGTCCCCTAGTGTGAGGCAGTTGTTAACAGGTGACTTTAGGAGTTGGGCCTTACCGGACTCGCAGGTGGGCACTGCGAGAGTCGTTGCCTCCAGCAGATACCACCCGACAGGTGTAGGTGCCAATGTCGCCTGACCAGGTCTGGGCAATGTGTAAAGTGCCCATGTTATCCAGTCGCATGCGGGGCACGTTCTCCACATTTAATGCTGTGCCATCCTTCTCCCATATGAACCTACGGGGAGAAAGTGGGACAGGGCCTTGCCTCTTCACATGATCAAGTTTATTTCCCCCATGACTCCTCCCTGCCTCTCCAAAGCCCAGGAGTGCCACCTCTCAAATACCACAGCTTGCTTGAGAAGAAGACAGAAACAACAGACAAGCACCCAAACACAGCTTGCCCACCTCTACTTATCCTTCCCTGCAAAGCTTTTTGGGTGGGCATACTAAGTTAATGCAAGACAGCAAAGAGATCCGACAGGCCTGGGCAGTGCCCGGCATGTAGGAGGGCACCCCAAGTGGATAGGAAGGTGTTGATTTCAGCAGCTGCCCACTCACATCCATTGCCATTTGCCTTCATGCCTGCCATTTCCCTCCCCTGCAATCAGGCTTTTTGCTGGCTATTTTTTGGTTTATCATAGAATCATAGAGTTGGAAGGGATCTCCAGGGTCATCTAGTCCAGCCCCCTAGTAGATGTATCACTATGGAGATATAACATTGTAACAATGTTCCTATTACCATTTAAAAAAAACAACCCTGCAAAAAGCCCACTAGAGGTGCGAGGAGGGACAGGTGGGTGTGAAGGGAAAGCACAGGGGAAATCCCTGTATGGGAGCTTCACTGCTGCCGAGAAAGCCACTGCATTCACAGAGGCAGTGAGAGCAGAATGGGGAGTCTCACTTGTGCTGTAGCAGCCTCGATGTATGGGCACACGTGCCACAGGCTCGGCTTTAAAAATAATGGGTTGCATCTGGATTTACTGAGGGCTACTTTTGTTGTTGTTGTTTTAATTTGCAGCTGTTTGTTCTGCCGGGCATGAGTTTAACATGCATGCTGTGGTACATACTTGTTTGTCTGGGTCTACAGGTAACCACATTGGTCCAAAGAAATACTCCAAAACAATAGCCATGTAATATTCTTTAGGATGAACAAGAAGAAGAACAAAACACACACACATGCAGAACGGTTTGCAAGGTTTTGAATTCTCCAGACTGGAAATCAAGCAAACGAAAACAAAAGAGAGAGAAGGGGACTTGAAACGTGTGCGTGTGTGCGCACACCTTTTAAAACATCCAGCTTGATAAAGAGGTCTGGAGGTCTCAAACGTTGCATACTATTTGGTGTTATTTTGGTTGTTCATAATAAGAAGAACAACATGGCTTTTGTTTATCTGAGTGAAAGTTTTTAGCAAGTGCCTTTTTGTGGATAATAAATGGGAGGTCAGCCAAAGTAGCCGGCTATTCTGTCTATGTCGTTTTAACCCACCTCTCCTCTGAGGAGCTCAGGGCAGCAGGCAGCAGTCTCCCTACCCTCATTTATGCTGTGCCATCCTTCTCCCATATGAACCTGTGGGGAGAAAGTGGGACAGGGCCTTGCCTCTTCACAGGTGATCCTCCTTTTCCTGCAATCCTACGAGGTCAGTGAGGCCAAGAGAGAATGACTAGCCCAGAGTCACCTGGCAAAGTTCATAGCTGAGTGGGGGATTTGAACCCAGGCCCCCTCAGGTCCTAGTCCAGCCCTCGGTCCAACACCCCCCAGACACCCCTGCACAAGGATATAGTTAACTTTCAAGAGTAAGGTGCATCATGGTATCCTTCCTTCACCCCAATGAGAGAAGACAGCAGTTTTCTCTCAGCACAGTTGCTAACAGGCACCAGGTGGCAACAGAGGCCCATGTTTTTACACAGGAGCTCCTCTCATTCCTTTTCCATAGCTGGGTTCTTAAGGCATGTAGAGAAACAGCTGGCAGAATCCTGGCCGTGAATCCCAGACAGGCATTTTGCTAAGCACAAGCCTGACTATTCTCTGGTTACAAAGCAGCACAGATTTTGCCCTCCTCCCCGGTACATGATTGGGACAAAGAGCGATGCCAAGGCTCAAATTTGCGTGAAGCTCTGTTAGCAAAAGCCAGGACATTGCTCATCTTTCCCAGGAGACACCTAAGCAAAGGCATTCACAGCCCTTTTTCACGTGTTCCAGTCTTAAATCCTGTCATGGAAAACAGGACTCAGCAGCATCAGTTCAAAGGAAGCTCTACCCATCGACACACGAAAATGTTTCAAACCGTAATAATGACCCATAATGACAAAGGCACACATTTTATCCACGATCAGCCTCCCCATGACTTTATTTTCACACTGGTGTCTAAGGAGACTGGATGACATCTGCCTTGACTGTTTAGTATCTCTACATCTCTGAACAGATTGCTCTTTGCATGTCCTTTTCCACTTCTCCTTCCCCACCCAGCACTCCAAAGGTCCCATCTCCATCTATAGCGTCTGCCCTTCACATATCTTATGGGTCTGAACACAGAACAGAACCTGCCACATACCGTACTACTACACTGGGGTCATTGGTTACTCCACAGGTCATAGATGCCTTGGTGCCTTTGATGACACTCTGATCCTGAGGGGGGTTGGTGATGCGTGTCCGAGCTGTAGACAGACAGAGGGGGGGGGGCACCCAGGCTCAGTCAGGCAACAGTCGCCATGTCAAGCCAGTGATCAGCCTTCTGGCCTGCTGGTTGAAACAACTCCTCTTTTCATACTGTGATGGTCACAAAAAGTCTTCTGATTTTAACAGATTCATCAAATTACAGACTTGCAAAACAAGATCATTCACTCAGCTGCTCCTCCCAAAGTCAACTGGTACAACTGAGGCTTTGATGAGTACCACAAAGAGAGAAAGGGTGTTCTGAGACTACAAATGCAAGGCATATATCATAAAGGGAACAAGCTTCCCCTCCCTCAGATGGCAATGCCCACTGGTTGTGAACTCAGCCACTCCCGAGTTCTGCTCAAAACCTTCGTTGCTTGCTTGTCAGTTACTGAAGAGAAGACGTTTTCGTCAGATGTAAGTTATGTATGCGTCTGTGTATCTTTGGAATCTATGTGGCCCTTAATGGGGGTGCGTGGGGAGGGGAAGCTCAGACATGGTAAGATTCTTTTTTGACAAACACTATGTGAGCAGGTTCCTTGTGAATCCTATTTCCCTGTAGGGCTGAGGAGTAGGATAAAAGTTTAACTAATTACTTAATCTGCAAACAGATTCCCAGAAGCAAACTTGTCCAAATGTAGGTTTTGTAAGGAGACTATTGTTTCTTAGACAGTCAGCAGGGGGCACTGATTCACCTCTGCCCGCAGCCTGGTGGACCTAATTACAATTGTTCTATTAGATGAAAGTGAAAGGGAACAGATACACTCTCAAACAAATTTGACACCCACAGTCCACAGGCACCAATGACTTCAGGTACTGGTCCTTTGCCTGGAAACACTGTAGACTGACCTGGAAAATAACGTTTGTATATTATGTGTTTATTTGGTGTTTTTTCCTTTTAGAATTGTAGAATTAGGCTTTTAAAATCTTGTTTCTTAATAAATTTTGAATTTGTATGATTTCACCAAGACACCTCTGGTGGAATGAGCTCCCAAAAGAGATCAGGGACCTGCGGGACCTTATGCAGTTCCGCAGGGCCTGCAAGACGGAGCTCTTCCACCAGGCCTTCCATTAGGAGGAGCCGCCTCGATAGAGAACCCTGTCCCCTGAAGTCATCAGAACAGCCTGTGCCAGCTGCATAAGGTTAGATCTACGGGCTGACTGCTAAGATGGTATACTGAAGGCTGGCCACCATCTTTTAAAATCTTTAAAATTTCTTTTATTTATCAGTATCATCACAGTTAGCACCTTTTAATGTTAGAATGTCTTATATGGTTTTAGGATTATTTAAACTGTCTATTGTGTGTTCTATTCTTTCTGTAAGCTGCCCTGAGCCGACTCTGGCTGGGAGGGGGCAGGGTACAAATCTGATAACAAACAAACAAACAAACAAACAAACAAATGAATAATAAACTGGATTCAGGTTTCTGGGGGAAAAACTGGGCAGTGATCGTGCAACACTCAGACTCTGGGATTGTGGCAAAAGCCTGGTTTAGCTTCTGCTAAAAGAAACCAGCAGGTAAAATTAGCAGACTATCTCAGTGAATGGATGCCCAGTTCCGTGGTGTAAATGAGGCAGGGAACAAGAAAGGTAGAAAGAGGAGGGATGACCAGAGAAAGTGTGATTCTGTTCAGAGCTATAGTGCAGAAGTGTGTGTTACTTTACTGAAGCATCACATATTTGTATGGGGGGGAAAGTGAGTATCCGCAGCACAGTGAAGGAAAATCCATCATTCTGGATGAACATACAAGGCGGATTCAACCCATATGCTTTCACCACCATGTGACTTGCATGTGTGAATGAGTAATCACAGTACTAGCAGCATGGATAGAACTTTCAGCTCTTCTGTTGTCATCTCAAACTTCACTGGGCTGCGGCCACACACACTAAATAATCCGCTTTCGATTCACTTTCAGCGCACTTTCCAACTGAATTTTCCCTGTTCACACAGTAAAATCCAGTTGGAAAGTACACTGAAAGCGGATTGAAAGTGGATTATTTAGTGTGTGTGGCCGCAGCCCTGGAGTCAGTTTCATCATGACCAAAAACTAAGTGATGTGTGCGTGTGAATCAGCCCTGTGACTCTCAAACACCTGTTTATTTTCAGCACATTTCTTGCAGCTTTTATGATTCAAACATAGCTGGAAACTGGCATTCAAAATCGAGTTTCTGATAGAATCCTGACACTCTCCAAGATACAGATGAAGTAACATTTCACAGATTTCCCCCAACTCCTGTCCAGGCAATATCTGAAATACTAGTTTGGCTGATCTAATGGTAACACCATACCTAGGACCTGCCAGCAGCCTACGAACAGGCACATAGGACGGGAGGCCAATGTACGGTCCACCTTACCCCAGACAACGAGTTCAGCAGATGCCTCATCAACACCACGGGAGTTGGTGGCAAGGCAAGTGTAGCTGCCAGCATCTGAGATTCGTGTAGGACTGATCAGGAGGCTTCCTGACTCCAGCAGTGTAAAACGAGGAAGTTGCACTGAGCCACTAGCCAGGATTCGCTCCCCTGCAGAGGAAAGAGGAGGAGTTTGTTAATAGGCCTATGATGACTAGCCTTAAATGGCTTTCCACTGCGGTGTAAGGGATCTCCACCACAATGCATGCTGAAGTCCTAAGCACCTGTGTTGATGACCTCAGATCAAGCAGGATGTGGATGCAGGAGTGGACTGTCCATGCTGTACCTTGATCTACAGCAGGTGATCTGTGTTTGGAGCATCAAGGGACGGGCTCCAGGTACAAGGAGCCATTTGTAAGGAATTCTTACTCCCATGCCCGGCCATGCCTGCAAACGACTTTGCACAAACTCCTTGTACACTCCTCACGGTTACCTTTCTGCCAGGTGATGGCTGGTCTGGGAGCCCCTGAAGTCTCACAGCTGAGCACCACAGCCATCCCATCGATCACGGTGCTGTCCAGAGGTCCTTTGGTTATGTTTGGGGCAATGCCTACGGTTGAGAGAAAGGCAAGGGAAATACCTATGGTACGGGTTCTAGATTGCCAAGTTGTTCCCACATCATTTTTGCCTCCCCCCCCCAAAAAAAAAAATAATTTCTCTGAGCTCTCCAATGAGGCAGTACTTAAGCTGGACAGAAGACGAAAAATAGTTAGGAAGAGCTCTAAATAGGGATCCAAATCTCATCTGATACTCTGCCTATAATGGGCACTTGACTGTGTCCTGCATTCACCTGCTCAAGCCCTCTCTCCCCCACTTCAGAATGCTTCTGATTGCTGGGGAAATGGGCAAAGACACTCCATAGCCCTGTCAGTGCAACACTATAATATTATCGGAGCTAAGGCGGTGGAACCCTGACCTGGATAGCCCCGGCTAGCCTGATCTCATCAGATCTTGGAAGCTAAGCCAGATCAGCCCTGGTTAGGTCTTTAGATGGGAGACCACCAAGGAAGTCTAGGGTTGCTATGCAGAGGCAGGTAACAGTGAATGACTTCTGAACATCTCCTGCCTTGAAAACTCTACAGGGCTGACATAAGTCCACTGTGGCCTGGCAGCAAAAAAAACAAAAAGGCAGTGGCAGAAACAATCTCCCTGAAACACAGAGGCTGCGGTCACACACACTAAATAATCCATTTTCAATCCACTTTCAGTGCACTTCCCAACTGGACTTTGCCAGTTCACATAGTAAAATCCAGTTGGAAAGTACACTGAAAGTGGATAGAAAGTGGATTATTTAGTGTGCGTGTGTGACCGCAGCCAGAGAGAACCTTTAGTCTATACTACTCCCTCGTGGTTCATGCAGATTGCCTCCAACGGCTCCCTTTCCACTTTGCGGACTATCAACCATTACTGATCTTCCTAATGGCTCACCTCTTTGCTTCCTGCAATAGAGCTCTGTGACTATCAACCCTGCTTCTGGAAGTTCAGCACCAGGACTGGGAGGTCCTGCAGGGAACACTGGGGTGGAAGGAAGGGGACTCCAAGGCAACCTATAACCAAAGCACTTGCTGACACCTACTGGTGACGGCTAGGTACGTGGAGGATTGCACCTCGCCAGCAGCATTGCGGGCAAAGCACTGGAACATGCCCGTATCATCCGGCACCAGCCCACTGATCTGCAAGCTCCCATTGGTGAGGAGCTGGAAACGAGAGAGCTTCTCCACTTCAAGCAGTGCTGCATCCTTGTACCAGAACATACTGGGTGGAGGGACACCTGCAATGCAAAGTCTGGCCATTAGAGAGCAATGGGAAAGGAAAATTAACTCTTCCATAAACCACTTTTCCTTCTCAATAGATTTCCCATCCCCGGATTCTGGAGATAGTCTGTAGGTTTGTGATTCTCTGTACTTAACTAACTACCACAGAACTTCCCTTCTTGCACAAACCTAGAATCCTGTTCATCATTCTACTCCAATAATCACACTCTGAAAACACACCTTTTGCTATTAAGTTCAAATCCTGAGAGCGTAGGTGTCCCAAAAGCAACAGGGGTGATGGATGCCTAAAGCTGATAGAACTGGAAGGATTTACAAGCAAAAGTGGGGATCTTCAGCTCAGGGTGGTGTTCATGGCTCATTGTTCTCCCATTTTGCCCTGTGAACTAGGTTAGATTGAGGGACTTTACCCAAGGTCACTCGGTCAGTTTCATGACTGAGTGGGGGATTTGAACTTCGGTCTCCGGGGTCCTAGTCTGATTCTCTAATGTCTACATCACACTGGCCTCATCCCCCCTGCTCCTTCCACCTCTAAGTTGTCCAAATATTCAAACAAATGCAGGGTTGACTCAAATGCTGTAGCAACTTGGATTTAACAATCTGAATTAAACCCAGAATCTTGCGATGAACTGCAGTAAAACCAAAGAAACAGGGAGCTGCCATGGGGCCTCAACATCCCTCGCCTGTGCTCCCGCAAGGAAGGAACAAACAGGCAGGAACACAACTCCTCTAAGATGTTTACAATCCTATTTTTGAGATCAGTCAGTTATGAAGCCCCCACCTTTTCCTTTGATAACTCCACAACCTGGCCAGACTATTCTTAGAAAATGCTTGCTAATTTTAAACCTCAGGTTTGTATCCTGCAGTTTAAGATCACAATTTCTTCATCAGCTTTGGAGCTGTCTCAAGGTGCTCTGCTCCTTTTACTGGGCATGCACACGACGGTATCTTAGCTGCATATGAAATTGCCACCCTGCACAGGGCTTCTGCTTTAGGCTGTCTATAGACTGAGGCGGATGTCAGCGCGTCACATTTGTTTTGTTCAGATGGTCTTTTCAAGGTTGTCTTTGCAACTGGATGGGGCAGAAATGTTCTTATTTTTATAAGTAGGGATTTTTTTTTAAAGGGGGGGAGCAGCAGCATGAAACCTACAACCTCCCCTTTCCCCTTACAATGGTAAAATGCTCTAGGTATACTTTTGCTGGCAAACTAGTTGTTATAACTGCCAAGTTACTAGCAAGATGAGTGCTCAAACTGCAAGATTAACGGCCTTGGCTTGGGCTGCAACAAAAAGCTGAACTAGATGACTGAGAAGTGAACTGGAGAAAATTACCTTTGGCCTGGCAAGGAACCTGCACCACCTTCTCCATCTCAGCTGTGATGTGCCTGTCTGGCTCCTTGATAAACTGAGGTGGCTCTGCAATAGAAAACCAAGTCATGGGACTGACCAAATGTCCTCCAACCCAGACTGTCAGCTGAATTCCCACAAGTGCTGGTTTTGCACGCCTCTCAACCCTGATAATTTTGGACCAAGTTCTCAAGGTTCCTGACTCACTGCACTCTGATCATATGAAGCTTCTGCACATCAAATCTCGTTCCGTATCACCTCCTCTGATTGACTGGCAGAGGTATATCCCAGTCCCTGCAATCTGAGACCATTTGAGATGCCAGGGATTGAGCCTGGGACCTTCTGCATGTGAAGTATATGCTCCTCACTCACCCACAGCCCCACCACATCTTTGAGATGATGACACCCCATGGCTTCCTTCCCATGCTTACCCAGCACAGAGAGGTAGGCTCCCTGCACCACAGAAGGCACACTGCTACTTCGCAGCACAGCCTCACATTCGTAGTAGCCACGGTCACTCAAAGTGGGATTCAGGATGGTCAGGCGCCGGTTGTAGTCGCTGATGCCACTCGACACAGGCAACCCGTCCTTCTTCCAGATGATGTGCAACTTGATGAGTGGCCTGGTGAGCAAAGAAGCCTGTGAGATGGGAGCCCCTTTCCCATGCACCCAGTGTCACTGGATAACTGGCTACAGATCTGTACAGACTGAAGGAACTCCTACCCAGCAGTCCAGTTTGGCTTTGCAGTTATGAGTGTACACACAGCTGGTAAGGTAAAGGTAAAGGTTCCCTTGCTCGAAAGCCAGTCGAATCCGACTCTAGGTTTGCAGTGCTCATCTCCGTTTCAAAGCGGAAGAGCCAGCGCTGTCCGAAGACGTTTCCGTGGTCATGTGGCCAGCATGACTAAACACCAAGGCGCAAGGAACGCTGTTGCCTTCCCACCGAAGTGGTACCTATTTATCTACTTGCAATTTCTTGCTTTCGAACTGCTAGGTTGGCAGGAGCTGGAACTAGAGACGGGAGCTCACTCCGTCATGCGGCACACTCGGGTCTCGAACTGCTGAACTACTGACCTTCCACAGCCTGCAGTTCAGCGTCTTAACCACTTGAGCCACCGCAGCTCTACACAGCTGGTGGCAGAGGTCAAACTCTTTTTATGGGTGTGAAGTCCCTAGCATGGGAGTGGGCTGTAGGTGTCAACCACTGCTGCTTGAAAATATTTCTCATTTATAGGGGTGACAGTATTATACCACAGTGGCAGACTGCATTGTGAGCACTGGAATGCTAGTAGAAGCCATCTCACAGCAGGCCGTTTCCCAGATCATAGTTTTGCACCATGAACCTGTGCTCCAGCCCAATACAGGAGAGCCAGAGAGGCCAGGACAGAACACTTCATAGGCTGGAAATTCTACTGCGAAGAAGGTTTGTAAATGATCACAAGACCGTTCTCAAAATTCCAGCAGTCATGCCAGGTATACCTTCCAACCACCAAGAACCACAAGAGGCAGAGACTTACCTGGCATTGGCCACACACTCCAGGATCACCTCTGAGGTGCCGGCAATCACGCTAGTGTTGCGAGGTGAAATAATGATGGTTGGTGCAATTGGATCAGCCGGGCCACCTATATCTGAAGAGGAAGGGAAGTGATGTTGACACCAGACAGAAATGTTCCCAAGCTGTAGTGCTTGCAGAAGGCAAACTGGCCCTTTAGGAATGCCTCCTCCTCCACTGAGAGCTGAGTGCTATTGAGGAACACCAGGCAGTCCTGAGAAATGGAATGGCACCAGGAGCAAGACTATCTCAATAAAGGTATTTTTGGTATTCAAAATGTCAAAGCTGATTCTTCTTCCTTTGCCCAAGGCTTACAATTTCTCCTCAACATGTCAACAACCGTTTCTCAGCATGTCTACCTTCATACTGAATGAAATCAATATACACTATACTATGTAGCCCAGAGGCGCTGCCTTACTCATGGGTATCCCTTAACACGGGGCACCCCACTTCTAACCTGAACCGGAGACCCACAAAGTCAGGTCAAGGAAGGCACTCCTAGCCTGAAACACAGAGAAAGCCAAAGCTCTGCAAAAGGGTTTAATTTCAGGAAATAAGGCAGCCCTCCAAGTTAACCTTCAACCTCCCCCTCCACACAGCAAAGGTATGATTATGGAATAACAATGGGTTCCACCAGGTATTGTATCTGCATTTCTAAAGCTATTCAGAGGCCACCTGGCGAATAGCCCTTCTATCTCCAGAACTTCACTTAGCCCTATAATGATAAAAGGGTTGGAACACTTTCCCTATGAAGAAAGGTTAAAGCACTTGGGGCTCTTTAGCTTGGAGAAATGACGGCTGAGGGGTGACATGATTGAGGTTTATAAGTTTATGCATGGGATAGAGCAGGTAGAGAACCAAGTACTTTTCTCCCTTTCTCACAATACAAGAACTCGTGGGCACTCAATGAAATTGCTGAGCAGTCGGGTTACAACAGATAAAAGGAAGTACTTCTTCACCCAAAGAGTGATTAACACATGGCATTCACTGACACAGGAGGTGGCGGCGGCTACATGGGCGGTTTCAAGAGGGAATTAGATAAACATATGGAGCAGAGATCCATCAGTGGCTACTAGCCACAAGGTATAGATAGGAACTCTGGGGCAAGAGATGCTCTGTATTCTTGGTGCTGGGGGGGGGGCAACAGTGGGAGAGTTTCTAGTGTCCTGGCCCCACTGATGGACCTCCTGATGGCACCTGGTATTTTTGGCCACTGTGTGACAGAGTGTTGGACTGAATGGGCCATCGGCCTGATCCAACATTAGCTTCTTATGTTCTTATGTAACCTATGTCTATGTGAGAATCCTTTGTCTCCACAACTGTCTTTCCTGCTTCATCCCTCAGGATACCAAGATAAACCAATTACACATTCAAACGTTTAGCGATCAGGAACGCTTTTTCACTATTTTGTCTAAGCTTGGGAACCTATTCAACTGCCTTGGCAGGACCATCAATGGTCATCAGACCCATTCAGCTAGCCACCCAGCACCGGGCTAATTCTTTTTAAAAATAATAATATTTTTTTATTTTTTAAAAACAAAACAAACATACATACATGGGGGAAATTTCTTTTCCTTTCGTATCTTTAACAAACTTGTGCCTAATTTATCATACATTTATGTAATTCACCTTAAATTATTAAAAATATCATCTGCAAATATATCCAGTTTATACTTTATATGTCCTCAACAAGTTCTAAGCACCTGGCTAATCCTATCAGAGCTATTGTGAACCCAGACTCTGCCCCTCTGGAACCTGACCACACCTAGGTCTTGCCCCTCTGAACGCACGCACCCCCTGAGACCCATGATTGGTCAAGGTAATCTTTTGTCTTCATCTGGGACAAGCCCCTCAAGACCTCCTATTGGTTTGCATTGTATTCCAATGTCTATATCCTACCACGCACATGGCCATCAAGGTGTGCACTCAGGATGGTGCCTATACTTTGAGTACACTCTCAGAGTCTCTTCTTTGGGCCTTCCCATATTGCATAATGCTGGCTACTGGCGCTATTTTCTTCAAGGACCTCTACACATACGGACATGTAGCATTACCCCATAGCTGACCCCTCTATTTCGTATCAATCACTTCTGCTTTCCTAGTTCTGTATAGCTTACTCTTCTTGAATGCTTAATGTGCTTGTAATTAGGGAAATTCTTCAATAAAACCATTTGATTTATTCTTCAAATCTGGAGTCTTCCTACTGTACCAGACCTTGGTATAAACTGATGTGCAGTCCCTGATACCCCTCTGGCCTCTCCTACTAATTTCCCGTACAAAGAGGCAGGCCATTGGCGGGAACCACTGGTATGATGGCCCCATTTACTTCCCTCCCACAAAGGCATGATTTTCCCTTGGTTTTCCTTTTCCTTTTGTGATTGAGTCACCCTAGTTGTCTGTTCTCTTCTTTCCTGAAAAATTCTGGCTGTTCCACCCTGTCACAGTATACTATTTTGGTTGTTTGCTCAGTCCAGGAACCTGAGGAAAGGAATGGGAGACCTATATAACTTAAATGGCACTCAAGTTTTTATATTCCAAATTAGCAAAATATTTTATTCAACATGGAAAGGTCAGGTGAAATCAGGGGTAAAATGTCTTAAGTAAAACTAGTATATGCACAGACTTTAATTCTTATGTTTCAGACTAATGAGAGTTTCTTAAACTATTCTACGGCCCCTGCCACACGGCAGAAAAAAACACGGCCAAAGTGCGGCGTTTTAGAGCCGCACCAAAAGAGACACGCGGCGGTGGGATCACACAGATCCCCTGACCCGCCGTGCAGTTGCTCCCCGGCATGATCAGATGCCGGGGAGGAAGCCACTGACGGGAGACCGAGGCAGCCGGCTGCGCATGCGCAGTTCGGCCAGGAGCCTCGAATGCTCCTGACGAAG